ATGGTTATTCCAGCTTGCAGGACTGGCCTAGGGTAATTTTTAGAGGGGGTTTTAATTATATTTTAATCAGACTATATTTAAATATTTCCTTTTAATTAATTTTAATCTTGTAATTGTTATTTGTGTATTTTTAATTGATTGTCAGCCGCCCTGAGTCCGCAAGGAGAAGGGCGGGATATAAATTTAATTTAATAATAATAATAATAATAATAATAATAATAATAATAATAGCAAGCTGTCAAAATCTTGATGACCAAAAAAAAAAAAAAAAAGTAAAAATTGATGAAGTACAGGTAGTCCTCGACTTACAACAGTTCGCTTAGTGACTGTTTGAAGTTACAATGGCACTGAAAAAACTTCCCCCCAAGCCACAGCCGAGCAAGACACCTGTCTGCCCACCCGGCGGCGCTCTTCCTCCTGTCCGAGGTTTTCATTGTTGTGAGCATTTCTGTTGAGGATTGGCAGTGGGGGTGGGGTGGGGGGGTGTTTGGTTTTTATTCCCCCCGTCTGCTGGGTGGTTGCAGCAGGTTTCGGTCACTTCACATGACCCCGAGACACTGTGACCGTCATAAATATGAATCAGTTGCCAAGCATCTGAATGTAAATCACAAGACCCTGGAGATGCTGCAACATTCCTGCTGATCGGCACTTCTTCTGGGCTCAGAAGTGCCAGGCTCAACGCCGAGTTCCAGCTGGAGCCTGGCGCTGATCCTGGCACTTCCACTGAGTCCTGACAGTCCCGAAGAAGTGCTGATCCTGGCGCTTCCACTGAGCCCTGACAGCCCTGCAGCTCCAGCCGTCTCTCGCTCAGGCTTGTGCGGTGCTGCCCCCGGTTCAGCTCATTCCCCTCCCCCGCTACCATTTTTCTAGGATGCTCGCATACCACCTGCCAGGTGCCAATGTACCACAGGTGGTGCCCATACCACTGTTTGAAAAGCCCTGGCTTATAGCACAGGGGTGAGGAACGATGGCCCTTTTATGACTTGTGGACTTCAACTCCCAGAATTCCTGAGCCAGCCATGCTGGCTCAGGAATTCTGGGAGTTGAAGTCCACAAGTCATAAAGGAGCCATCGTTCTCCACCTCTGGCTAACGTGGTGTGTGAGGGTTCGGTCTTTGGAAGGACTTTCATTTGGTCAAATCTGGCTCACCATCTTCATCAAGCCTGGTTTCTCCATGGTGTGCCACACATGTAAGATCTCTTCCCGTTCTTCAACAGATGGGGATATATTAAAAGCACTATGATCATAGTAACAACGTGAAAACATATCTCTGCAGGGAGAAAGTCACAATTAGATAGAGCCAGGGGGGGAAAAAAAAACCCTTCTTCCATCCCATCACCATCCACGGATATCTTACTCACGTGACCTTCTGGAAACTCTCGTCTCCAGGCTGAAGGATCAACAACTGTCCATCACTCAGCCCACAAACCGAAGTGCCCAGAGAGGGGAGCGTCCCCATGCACAGCACAGAGACTCCTTTGGTTTGCCACAGTTTTCTCCTACACGTCAAGCTAAGCAAGAAGGAAAAGACTAATAATAATAATAATAATAATAATAATAATAATAATAATAATTAATAATAATAATAATAATAATAATAATAATAATAATAATAATAATAATAATAATAATAATAATAATAATAATAATAATAATAATAATAATAATAATAATAATAATAATAATGTTGGAAGGGACCTTGGAGGTCATTGAGTCCAACCCCCTGCTCAGGCAGGAAACCCTACACCAGTGATGGCGAACCTTTTAGAGGCCCCAAACCCACTTATGTATCGTCGGGTGCCGGGTGGGTGTGGCCAATTGGATGGGCGAGGCCTGTTGGGTGGGCGTGGCTGCGGTGGTAACGGCAGACTGGGTGGGACTAAAAAGTTCAATCAATCAATTCCAACTTTGCAAGATCTTTTTTTTTCCTGAGCAGCTGAAATTGATTGGTTGATTATTATTTTTTGCACACGGCGGCGGAGGCCTAAAGCGAAAAGGTTTTATAAAACCCAGCTGAAGGCGTAGGACTGGGGCGACGGCACGCGTGCCCACAGAGAGGGCTCTGAATGCCACCTGTGGCACGCGTGCCATAGGTTCGACACCACGGCCCTACACCATTTCAGACAGATGGCTGTCTAGTCTCTTCTTAAAAACCTCCAGTGTTGGAGCATTCACCGCTTCTGGAGGCAGGTTGTTCCACTGGTTAATTGTTCTAACTGTCAGGAAGTTTCTCCTTAGTTCTAGGTTCCTTCTCTCCTTGATTAGTTTCCATCCATTGCTTCTTCTGCCTTCAGGCATGTTGTGGAAACTCAATTGATGAATGAAGGTTAGGCTCAAAAGACTTAATGAATGACAAGAACCATCTACTACTCGTGTTTCCCCCAAAATAAGACCCGGTCTTTTTTTTTTTTTTTTTTTTTGCCTCCAAAAGAGGCACCAGGTGTTATTTGGGGGGGGGGTGTTAAACAGACTCCAAGGAGTGACCTGCATATAAATCCAGGAAAGAAAGGGATGGACAGTCACCCCCATGGTGCTTTGCCCAATCTTACCTAACTGCTTTGACATTCTGTGTGCTGTCACTTATATCCCAAAGGCTGATCCCATCGCAAGCCACAAGGATTGTATCAAAAGAATGGAAGGCGAGAGCACTGATGCACTGCGGCCCAACCTGGAAGTTGATTTTTAAAAAACAGGCATCAACTGAAAGCAGACACTTAAATCTGTTTGCAGCTCCTTGCCAAAGTCCCAAAAGGTGCTGTTCTCCAAATACATTTGAGGACACAGGTGCAGAACACCTACCCTACCTTTGCCATCCCCAAAAGCTCTCCTCCTTGCCAGACAATCAGGTCACCGTGTTCCCCACCAGAAGCAGCCAAGTTCCCATCAGGTGACCAAGCCACCGCTGTGACAACACCCTGGTGAGGAGGCAGGTGTTCAGAATCACCTGCTGTAGAGAAGGGAAAGAAAGATATAAGTTAAGTCCTCGGCTTACGAACATAATCGAGCCTACAAATTATGTTGCTAAGCGTGGCAGTGGTTTTGCCCTATTTGGCAACCTTTCTTTGCCACCGCTGTTAAGTGAATCGCTGCAGTTGTTAAGCTGAGGACAACTGGTAATCAGGTGATGCTTCACACCCTCATCCTACATCTCTGCCTCTATTTTTTTTTGTTCTTGTTCACTCCACAGATTTTGAAAGGGTCCAAGGCTTTTAGGGGACCCATCTACTTACCATCGTTCATAGGAACTGCCCATATGCGGGCTGTCTTGTCTTTGGAGATGGTCAGGAAAGATGATGAGGTAGCAGCCGCTGCACAGACAGAAGCAGAGTGTCCAAACAAGACTTGAGGTTGTTCAATCTGCAAATAACCAGAAAGGCGTTAATGAAAACCACGGGATGAGAGGCATACGTGGAGTCTGTATTTCCATACTGAATTTGTCCTCTTGCACGTTCACGCTCATGCGAGTGAAAAAATGGGGAGAAATAAATAAATGTTTATGTATGTATTGTATTTAAAACAGTGGTTCTCAACCTTTTTAATGCCGCGACCCCAACTGGTCGTAAGTCGAGGACTAGACCGGTCGTAAGTCGAGGACTAAACCGGTCGTACGTTGAGGACTAAACCAGTTGTAAGTCGAGGACTACCCAACCGGTCGTAAGTCGAGGACTTTCCCTGCCTGGGAGCGCCACGCATGCGTGGTTCTGCCCCCTGCGCCGGCCGAGGCGTAGCTGGCAAGTGGCAGAGACGAAGCAGGCCGACCACCAGCTGGCCCAGCCCAAGGGAGGTAAGGCACCCGCCGGAAAAGGGGAAAAAATGGCGGACAAAAAAAATGGCGGACAGCCTTGCTTGGCGACCCCCATGAAATGGTCGATCGACCCCAAATGGGGTCCCGACCCACAGGTTGAGAACCACTGATTTAAAATATTTATATGGTTACAAGTAACTTAACTTTGGGTAGCTGACAACAACAATAAAAATCCCAAATCAGTAAAATCAAACTTCAGCATTTCAACCAATATTTTCTAATGCATCAATGTTACAACTCTCAAGCTGTAACCTAATTTTATTTCAATGCCTGGAAGAATCGATCCCTGTTATTTGTACTGTGCAATCAAGAATTCAAAAGGACTGAAACTGACAAAAAAAGTTAATTGCAGTGAAAATACAATTTATTTATTAAATGTGTATGGCTGCCCATCCCATGATAATAATTCTGGCTAAGTTAAAAACAATAGTTTAAATAATACAAATCGTAACGTCCAACATCACAAAAACACAATTCCAATTTACAAGAAAATGTTAAACCGATGGCACTTGCTTAACCTGACCCAAATGCCTGAGGGAACAACATCAAGTGCAACGTTTTCAACCTTGGCAACTTGAAGAAATGTGGACTTCAACTCCCAAAATTCCTCAGCTAGCTCATGTTGATACTTATTTATCATTTTTACTTTGAGGGAGGAAAATTCCATTTAGCATCTTCTGGATCAGTGTCTCTCAACCTTAGCAACTTTGTGGACTTCAACTTTCTAAATTCACCAGCCAGCATGTTGACTGGGGGATTCTGGGAGTTGAAGTCCACACATCTTCAAGCTGCCAAGGTTGAGGAAAGTTGCGGTAATGTCTTGTGGGTTGGGGTCATCTGGATCTCCGGGGGATGTTGTTTCACAGAGCAGTTGCTGCTACAGAAAAGGCCCAATTCCTGGGCCCCACAAGATGACATTCCTTAATGGAAGGGACACAAGAACCATGCTCTTGTGGAAGCATACCTGTAACAGGGTACCTTAACTACAGAGACTCATCTAGCTAGATTACTGCTGCATGCTCTGCATGGGGCTGCCTTTGAAGACTACAGTACTCAGAAGCTTCAAGAAGTCCAAAGTGCAGTATTAAGCAGAGACAGAAGACTGAGCCATCTTGTACTAGACTACAACTACTACATTTGTTACTAGTTTGTTTCTCCATCAAGTTCTACATGGCTCGAGTTCCTCATACCTATAAGAACATCCATCTTCTCCTCAGATTTGCTCCTCACCCCACACATTCTTATAGCAAGCAATTACTAAACGCTCCCCCACTCTATGTGAAGTCAAGGAAGGATGAGCTGAGAGCTCCGATGACCCTAACTTTTCTGGTGCTGCCAAATATAATGGAAGCACATGCTTTCCTGGCCTCTTGCAAATTACAATTGGGTTTTTCCACTGAGTGTTTGGGCTCTTAGTGGGTAGCTCTTAGTTATCTATGCTTTGCTCCTGATTTTACTATACGTATCCCCTTGTTTTTGTAAAATGCTTCAAATGCCACAGGAATGGGCAATGGAGAAAGCTGTGCAATAAGTAAATACTAAAAAGCTTGTTTTATCTTCATCAATGATTTGGCGAGGGGATAGATGGGGAACTCATCAAATTTGCAGACAACACCAAGCTGGCAGGAATAGCCAACACTCCAGAAGACAGGCTTAGGATACAGGAGGATCTGGACAGACTTGAACACTGGGCGCTATCTAACAAAATGAAATTCAATGGTGAAAAAAATAAGGTTCTACATTTAGGCAAGAAAAACCAAATGTACAGGTATAGCATAGGTGGTACTTTGCTCAATAGTAGTAACTGTGAGAGGGATCTCGGAGTCCTAGTGGACAATCACTTAAATATGAGCCAGCAGTGTGCTGTAGCTGCCAAAAAAGCCAACACAGTGCTGGGCTGCATTAACAGAGGGATAGAATCAAGATCACGTGAAGTATTAATACCACTTTACAATGCCTTAGTAAGGCCACACTTGGAATACTGCATCCAGTTTTGGTCACCACAATGTAAAAAAGATGCTGAGACTCTAGAAAGAGTACAGAGAAAAGCAACAAAGATGATTAGGGGACTGGAGGCTAAAACATATAAGGAAAGGTTGATGGACTTGGGTATGTCTAGTTTAATGAAGAGAAGGATGAGGGGGGACATGATAGCAGTGTTCCAATATCTCAGGGGCTGCCCCAAAGAAGAGGGAGTCAAGCTATTCTCCAAGGCCCCTGAAGGCAGGACAAGAAGCAACGGATGGAAACTGATCAAGGAGAGAAGCAACCTAGAACTAAGGAGAAACTTCCTGACAGTTAGAACAGTTAACCAGTGGAACAACCTGCCTCCAGAAGCGGTGAATGCGCCAACACTGGAAGTTTTTAAGAAGAGACTGGACAGCCATTTGTCCAAAATGGTATAGGGTTACCTGCCTGAGCAGGGGGTTGGACTTGATGACCTCCAAGGTCCCTTCCAACTTTATTTATTTTTATTATTATTATTATTATTATTATTATTATTATTATTATTATTATTATTATTATTATTATTATTATTACTGGGGATTCTTAAAAAAAGAAAAGAAAGATTCCCCTCCTTTCTTACCGTCAAGGGCCTCCAAATTTTCACAGTGCCATCAGCGCCAGCTGCAGCCAACATAAAGTCTTTCTGCCCTGCGGAGGATAAAAATGAAATGTTTTCATACCAGCTCTACAGTGGGTAACCAATGGGAAAGGCCCATCCAAATATTATGAATTGCTCTAAATACAACGAAGTGTCCTGTTTAATTCCTTTAACGCCTCAACTTCACTGCAAGATTCTTTTTATTTATTTCTATCCTGCCTTTATTATTTTTACAAATAACTCAAGGTGGCGAATATATCCAACACACTTTTCTCTTCCTATTTTTCCCTACAACGACAATGCGGTGAGGTGAGATTGAGAGAGTGTGACTGGCCTAAAGTCACTTCGCCGGCTATCCTAGTCCTAAGGCAAGACTAGAACTCACAGTCTCCTGTTTGTAGCCTGGTGCATTAACCACTAGATCAAACCGCTAGATCAAAAAATGTAGCGATTCTGTGTGCCTGTCTCTGGGCTTAAGAGAAGATGGCCTATCCAAATTAAAGTACATTTTAATGTATATTTTCACCAACGGGAAGCATCGTCTGCATCAAAATTAAACCCCGATATAAAGTTATACACAACCAAAGATTCATTTGCATTTCAGGGTAAACAATGCAGGCAGGAATTTCACATTCCCCACTTCCAGATTTCCAAAACAGAGACACATGTTTGCAGAACAGTGCCAAGAAATCTCTTACATGGATCCCGGAAGCCAGTGCAGCCGTTGGTCTGACTCGGGTGAGCCAAGAACCGAGTCTCTTCCACTCCCTGGAGGTTCCATGTTATCAGCAGCCCATCCCTGCCCATGGAGATGACATGGTCTTTCTGTACAAGGATCCAGAAAGGGAAGAGTTCAGAGGAATGAAA